TAGGTGCATTCATCTGCATGTGTGTGGCTTTGCAGGTAGATGGAGAAGAGCTGCCTGGGCCATAAACATTGGGAAACTTCCAGCCATGGAGGTATTAAAATGAGCCCCTGGGGGAGGAGAGACAAGGGCAGATGTGGAGGAACACAGGAGAATGTCTCCTATACAGCCTGATTGATACTCACAGACATAGCTGAGCATGGCTGAGGGCAGGACCCTCCCAGCTGCAGAGATGTGCTGTTCCTCCTCCATACACCTTGGGCCTTTGGGAGAGATGTGGGTGACCATCCTGCACTGCCAAAAAGCACCAGCCTCAGTCTGCAATACTTTAAGGGTTCAGTCTCTGCTGAGGAATTCCCTGGTCTTATTCCCATCTGTTGCGGCTGCAGGTTTCAAACAGGGGCTGCAGAGTGTTCAGTGAGCAGAGCCTCATGTAAATCATTCATCATGAGATCCATGAGTCTCAGTGACTGGCACCATCCTTTCCCAGCTTTAATAACAAGGCTGGGATGTTCTGGGATGGGAGAAGGAAGGTCGATGTTTGCTCAGGGTGGCTCATGGGAGTAGGGTACTGAAGATATTACCTCCTAGTCTGATCTATTCAGGACCAAATGTATCTTAGCATCTTCAAGCAGAAATAGTCCTGAATATTTTTCAGCTAATGGATAGTATGAAGCAAAGGTTGTATTACAAAAGGCATCCTTTTTTCATGGGCATAAAAGATGTTTCACTTAGCAGTGAGCATCTGGCACCCCATGCTGCTGTGCTGACAGGCAGATAAAGTGCATGACAGCAGTTCTCATTAGTGTACTTCATCTCCTCTGTCAGCTGAATTCAGCAGAAAGTCAAGTCTCAAGCCAGGAATCAACAGCACCTCTTCCAACCCCAGACCCCAGGAGGGTCTGCAAGTCAAATCTTACATGGTTGAATTTGGGATGTGTTGCCAAGAATTCCCCCAGAGCTGCAGATATGTCCTTGCTGCCACATCCCTGCAGTGGGCTGCAGTTCCCTTCTTTCCTGATGTCATCAAGGGATCTGTGAGCACTCTCAGCAGACATGCTGGGATGTGAATGGGACACAGAGTCAGAGTGACCTCTCCAAAACAGGCCAAGCAGTAGAGAGGTTTGCTCTGTAATGAGGGACCTAGATAGAGAGTTTTTGGGTAGTTTTACTTTCGTCACATAACAGGGAATCCCTGTTAGCGCAAATGAGGTTAAAACCCAAACACTTGTCTGTTTGGGTCCACAGGGAGCTTGAGCTCCTGGAAACTACCCTGACTCAAACATTCCTGCAATGCTGAACATCCACTGTCGAAATTACCCTCATAGTCAACTTGGCCCCAGAATGCAAAAGGGATCCTCCACTGCTCTTACCTGGCCCTGACCCTTGTCTACCTGCATACTAGTCTTTTGAAAACAAGGACTCTGGAAAAGTTGTTTTTATTCCACTACCAAGTAGTTTTGCTTAACACCCTCTTGTTCTTGTGTTCTCTGTCCACCTCCTCTGTGCCATCACTGTATTCATTACTGTCTGTTGTACCCTTCAATCATCTCAGCTCTTCCAGTCCCCATTCACTTACTGGTGGGCAACATGGAATCTCAGACTGGTTTGGGTTGGAAGTGCCTTAAGGCTTATCTTGTTCCACCCCTGCCATGGGCAGGGACACCTCCCACCAGCCCAGGTTGCTCCAAGCCCTGTCCAACCTGGCCTGGAACACTCCCAGGGATGGAGCAGCCACAGCTTCTCTGGGCAACCCGTGACAGTGCCTCAACATCCTCACAGGGAACAATTTCTTCCCAACATCTAGTCTAAATCTACCCTTTTACAGTTTAAAACATTTCCTTCTTGTCTTTGTCACTGTCTGTCCTTGAAAAATCAGATGTTAGTTCACTCCACATCTTGAGATGGAGAGACCAGATCTGCACACTGTATCAAAGACAAAAACGGAAGCTGGTGTATGCAATGGCACAAATGAGGTTCTGTGCCCATTTTTCCTTTTCTGTTATTTGATTTGCTTTTTTTTGGCAGCTACTAAACACCAAGACTTCCTTCCTGGAGATATTTAAAAGCCTGTTGTGTATATGCTCTCATAAGACTTGTTCCCTCCACTACAGCAGTTGACATTCACACAACCTGAATTCCAGCTGGTGTTTTATTGTTGAGGACAAACCACTCACCTGCAAGTGTTTCCTTCCTAGGTCACCCAGCTGCACCTTCCAGCTGAGTGTGTGAAGACAGGAAATGAAGGGTATTTGGTAGAATTCCTCTTCCTTACAATTTCTCTCATGCAAGGACACGATGCAGCTCTCTATAACAGCACGGGTTAGTGACTAGAAGACAAAACTAGTTTCCAGTACTCCTGGGTTCCCATGTCCATTCTGGTCATTGTTCTGATGTTACTCTGGCTGAAACTTTCAAAAGGGACCACTGATTTAAGTGTTCTCCTTGCCTGGGAGCACATGTCAAACATTTCATCCTGCTTACCAGGAGAGCTGAGCTCCAGCCACTTCAGCTGCCATCTGTGGGACTTGGAGAGCTCCAGAACCACAAACTCCAGTACAGGGATCAGAGTGTCAGGGTGAGCCTGTGAATCACTAATCACTGCCCTCACCTATGCGAGGGGGTGACCAGTCCCTCTCTGAGAAGCTCTGGGAAGCTCAGTGTGGGTGAGGAGTGCCAGGCATGTGTAATTCATTATCACTAGGAATAATATTGTTTGGAACATCTAGGGACCATTCATGAGCCTTTCAATTCACAGAAGTGCCTCCTCTCAGAGGACCAAGCTCGCTGCCTTGGCACAAGTGATTTCCCTCTCTAGCACTTGAGGAAGAAGCAAATCACAGTGCAATGCACCCTGAGAATGTCACTTCTGATGGAGCTTTATTCTTCCCCAGACAAGTCTCATGCTGGTCCTTCTCTGCCGGAAACAAGCCGTGGAATTTGCACCATTTATGATTTAGGTTTCTCTGCATATCCATGGCCAAGCTGAGGAAAACGACAATTTTGCCACAACAGAGCTGGAGGTTCATCATGGCAATGGCAGGTCCAGTGGGATGATTCATATCATGTCAGATTTGAGCTTGGTTCAAACCATCTAATGCAAATAACTGATGGAAAATGTTTGCTTTTGTCCTTTTTGAGAAGAAAAACTGAAGTCATTAGGAATGAAAGTGATGGTGAATCCACCACTGCTCTTTGTAGTCTGTTCCAGTGCTTAATCATCCTGTGTGTTAAAAAGAAAAGGCTCATATTACCCATTTGAATTTTCTTTGGCTTTAACTTCAGACATTTGTTCTTATTATTCTTTTCTCCACTAAATCCCAGAGCCATTTTTGTACCCAGTGCCTAAGCAGGAAGAATCCTATACATTACCCTGCACTCATCCCCTTCATCTTGTTTTTAATAAGCCAAGCAGATTGAATTCTCTAAGTCTCCGTCCTCAATTTTTTCCCAGCCCTTGGATCACTTTTATTGCTCTTCTCTGTACCCATTTCAAATCATCACCATCCAGTGAACAGTGTGGGTACCAGTTAGCATCCAGTGGACACTGTGGGTACCAGCAATACACTTGGCCTGCCAGAGCTGCTTTCACCAGGGCATGATGCAGATGTTGGTACAATTTCCCTCTCCTTGTTCATGCAAACAAGCAACTTCATGAAAGCAATATTTAGGCATTAGCTCAACCTGCTTCCCCTGTGTGTAAGACAAATGCCCAGTCCCCCTGGAGATGGCATTGCCAGAGTTGGAGCTGATGCCTGTGTTGGACTGTGTTGGAACGGTCTCTCAGTTCAGTACAAGGCTATTCTCCAGGATCTTTTAATCCACTGGAAAAATACATGGAAATGGAAGCAAAATGAAAATTAAACAGATACTACTGGGAGTGCTGCAAGAGTGATTGGGAAAAATCATGTTTATCCCAATTTGTGATAACAAATTGTTGGCAAGGACAGAACATCTTCCTTCTAGAACCTGTTTTGAACCTTTTCTTATGGGTCAGAAATGAATTTTGCTGGGTTGGGTTTTTTCTGGTGCTTCTAAATTCTCATTACCTGAGACACCAACCAAGCTGAAGTATTTCTCCTGTCTGGGGATTGTGACCATTTGGCGTTCCGCAGCCACTGCCATTTATGTTGGTTTCAGCAGCTTTCAGCACAGGTTCACCTGACATGGCAGAGGAGCTCACCTGTCCCGTGCCATGTAGGAGCACTTGTGCTGCTGCAGGAGCACACAGGGCACTGTCCCATCCTGCCAGAGGTCCAATGTGATAATTGCTATGGCAGAGACCCAACAGAGCCTCCTGCTTCCTAACAGAGGTGCATCTCTAGAGCTGAAGAACAGGATGCAGACCAGCCCAGAAAACAGAACGACTATCTTCCTCCCTGGGCTAAGCCTCTTCCATGGATGATTGTCCAAACCCATCCCCACTCCACAGTACTGACCTGCAAAAGAAGAGATATAGATGTTAAAGCTCATTGCCATTACCAAGGAGAGTGGTGGATTCCAGCTCCAATAGCAAGGCCTTGAAGACTTCCCATGTTTTTGCATCCTGGGGGTTGTTTATAGCCCAGAATGAAGCACCTTGAGCTGCTCTCAAACCAGCTGTAATTTACAGGGCAGAATATAATGTCGTGTGGGTTGAGCTCAAATTGACAAGCACTGGAGATGTTGCAATTCCACTTGTGAAAATTTGTTTACCAAGGGAGAAAAAAACAGGCAGGATGGAAGACAGGAATGTCTTTTCAAGTGTTTACCTTTCCAGCTCTCTTGTTTCTATTATTGCCATGTGGTTGGGTAACTCTAGAGTTCAGCTTGGACAGCAAATTTTTTATAACTCCCTTTTTTGGTTGCTCATAATTTTCTCACCAACAAAGAACTTCCTTCGGATGATTTTCATTACTCTGCCTCCAAACAAAGCACTTCAGAGCCAAATATAAACACAGCAGGTGATTGCATTTCTGTGCTGTCTCTGTCCCCCTCCCTGACTGCAATGATAGCAGTCTGAGCTCAGCACAGCCGAGCTCAGACAAGGTCTCCTGTCCCACCATCCCAAAAAAGCTCCAGAGAGCTCACACCTCCCCAGACACTCAGGACTCCCTTCTCCCCACACTGTCCCCTTGCAGCAGACAGGGTATGGAGCACAGGCTTCTTGTGGTACCTCTCGATGTGATGCCAGACATCTCCAGGCCCAAACTCTCTCTTTGGCAAATGCAGTATCCACTGCTCCAAGGGACTCAGAGCGATTGACAGCACCAAGTAAAGAAAGAGCAGCATTATGTGAAGCTGTAATGTTTGATAGAGGAAACCATCAGGACTCAAACTTCTCTTCTTGCGACAAAGGGGCATTTCTCCTGTAAGATTCTCACTTAGACCTCAAGCTTTTTTTCTCCTCTAGAAGACACAATCCAAGTTTTCTTGCAGGCAACATCCTTTCCTCTTTTCCCGTTTGCTGAAAGGAGCAAACATATTTTATCACATAACTCTCCCCTCCCTTCCCCTTCCTCTGAAAGGTTTGTGTGTTTTCATCCCAACGACAAACATCCATCTGGTGCTGGTTTCTGTTTTGCAAGCCCCTACCAAACTGCCCTAGAGCCTGGCTGTTCCTCCACTCCCAGCTCCCTCCTGTTTTACCCTAGAATATTTGGCAGTGGGACCTGCCTGTGCTCAGCCAAACAGCTCGCACTTGAATCCAGGTGGAATGAGAGATTTTTCAAGCTGAGACAGATTTAGATCAAGCAGCAAATAATGAAAAAGTAATTGATCCACCTGCCAGCATGGAGCCTCCCCCAGGCTCTTGGGAGGAGGCAGCAGTGTTTGACAAGGGCTAGTGAACCCCTAGCTAGTGTGGGCAAGGGAAAAATGGACCCCAAAGGTGAGTGCTGTGGCAGCAGATTCACTACACAGATTTAGGGTCCAAAGAGAACCTGAACTGATAGGGAAACCTGCCCTGAGAGAGAGCAAGGGGGTGTCATGTGCAGAGGACCTGACCTCCTCCACACAGACAATCCCAGTGGACATCACTGAGGGAGTTAAATGCAGGCTGGGCAGCAGTGGGTTGTCTTCTCCTGGTTTTCAGCAGACTTTTCTTGGACTGTTCACAAGAACTCTCTCCATGGACTTGGAGGTGCCCTTGAGTGGGATTTCAGAGGGAGATGCACAATTAGTCACTCAGCTCCCGCCAGCTGTAAAGGAAATCAGATGGCAAAAGCACTCAGATGTGCACACACACAGAGTCTCTGACAATCAGAGAGGGAGAATCCAGGGATTAAGGCCTTGGGTTTGCCAAAAGACTGAGACATGATAGTGAGGGACCCATGGAAACAGAGAACCCAGGACTCCAGGAACTCATCACCTACAAAGCTTCCAAGGCAAAAATACCCCAGGTGGCTCTGCAGGGTCTCCAGCACATGGCTCTCGAATGCCAACATTAAGGCTGGTGGCTCCAGCCTTTAAGCACCAGATCTTCATAGCATGTAGCACCAGAGTAAAGGGGAACAGGGAAAAAAATGTTCCTGTAGTGCAGAGAATGTGCATCAGCCTGTGGCACAGCCCTGCACTTCAGCCAGGCACTCTGAAGCATTAAACTGAAGACAACCCTCATTGCAATCAAACTGGAGCCAGTCCAGGAACTGGCAGCATTTTCGTCTATTTTGCAAGTAAAGATAATAAACTGTGACTAACAGGATGATTTTGAGCTCAAAGCCTTCTTGCTGCTACTAAGGCTCCAAGGAGACCAAATATGACTGTGTCCTTAGATAGCACTCAGTGCCCATGAACAGCTGCTGAAGCCACATGGTGGGCTGGGCTCAGGGTAAGGTGAGCTCTAGGGTGTTTCTTGAAGCTTTTTGCTTAAGCATGCTCCTCCACAGTCACCTGGCAGCTGTAAAAGTGGAGGTCTCAGGGAAACTCCTACCTCAGCCTGTAACACCTGAGGGAAATGGGAGCTCTGTGGCTGCTCTGCAAGCACTACTGCATCCTGTGTCTCATGGGGCAAGAGGGAGAACCCTATAACCCTCCTCGACTCCCAGCCCAGGCTGTGCTCAGCTTGCAGAATGTCCTGGGACACAGCTCAGACCATAGGTAAAGGCCAACTTGCATCTCCACTGACGATCTCCATTTTGTCCACAGGCACCTGCACAACAACCGTATCCAGAGCCTAGGAGCCAATGGCTTTGATGGGCTGCACAGCTTGGAAACTCTGTGAGTCACCTGGTTAATTCTCTGTCCTATAGAGCTGCTGTGTGTTCATCCCCCCCAGCACAGCCTGCAGGAAAGGGGGTCAGCCCCACTGCATATCACTGTCACCACACACTGGGGGAAGCAGCAGGGCTGGCTCCAGGCACCAGCACAACCAGCAGATGCCCAGGGCATGATGCTCTCCGGGGAGTAGGAAACTGAGCTTTCCCCCTGGTTTGGCTGTGCTGCTGCTGCAGAGGGATCTGTGCATGTGGGCAGAGTGGCTGGGAGGGGCCTCTGAGGCCCTGGGTACCAGTCCAGTCCTGGAACAATCCTGAGAGCTTGCATGTGTTCCCTGCTCAGGGAGTGTGTGTCCCTTCTTGCCACAGATACATGGCCTCAAAGCCTTCTCAACACCTGACCACCAAAACAATGGGCTGTCTTGAGTCTGAGGCATAGCCAGTTGACTTTGTCTTGCACCATGTGCTTGGCATGTCTGGGTAACAATCCATCAGGAGACTGCAGGGAAGAAGGGAATGCTCCTCCAGGACATATCTTCAGGAAGTTAGATTGAGATTGTCTATTAGAAAGAAATTCCTCCATGTGAGGGTGGTGAGGCACTGGCACAGGTTGCCCAGAGAAGCTGTGGCTGCCCAATCCCTGGAAGTGTTCCAGGCCAGGTCAGAGGTGGCTTGGAGCAACCTAGGCTAGTGGAATGTGTCCCTGCCCATAGCAGAGTCTGGGATGGGATGAGCTTTAAGGTTCCTTCTAACCTCAAATGTTCCACGAGCCTGTGATTAGCAGCAGGCAGCTCACCCTGAGCTAGAGGATTAAATCTGGCAGCCTGGCCTGTGACAGCTGTGTCAGTGGCCTGGGCCTCGTGTGCCATGCGTTGGCCCAGGAGGAAACACAAACAAGCAAGCAAATAAATCGAGGCTCTGAAAGACTAGAAGAGATGCCTGATGCCATCAATTGTGCAGAACATGTCCCTTCATGCAAGCTTGGGGTCAGAGTCAGGCCCTCACTCCTTGCCAGGGAGAACTAGGGGGTCTGGGTCACGGCAAAAGGAGGTGCTGCTTCCCAGCATTCAAGTGCCACTCAAGGAGACGGAGCCCCTCTGTGCCCGGCACGGGGCCAGCAGCAGCCATCAGGAGAGAGTGGCAAGCTCTTGGTCCCCAGACACGCTCCTTGGGGCAGGACCATGCCACATATTGTGTCCTCCTTTCAGACTAGCAAATCCTGGGGCCACCCAGAAGGGCTCAGCTGGGGAGAGGCTGAACCATGCCAGGGGTGGGAGGCTGATGGATGGTCTCCTCCAGTGACCCATGGGTCCCATGTCACCATGCCAGCTTGGCTTTCTTCCCAGTCATTTCTGGTGGGCAGAGCTGTGGCAGTCAGGCAGCACAAGGGCAGGAGAGCTGCAGGAGGGAGCAGAGGATCCACAGATGGAAGAAAGCCCTGTTTGAGCTACAACCCTAGCAGACCATGCAGCAACACCACAGCCTACATCAGGGCAACCTTACTCTGCAGCAAAGGTGGTTAAAGCAATCCTGCTGCCCATGCCAAGCAAGGTGGAGCTGCAGAGGAGACGTTGGCACCTTACGTGCCATGGGAAAGACTGAAGGGTTCAATTGCCCTGGAAGAGAATTCCATTTCCATAGACATTTGTGCTGAAAGCTCATTTTCCTCACTCTTCCTCTCAGGTCCTGCTCTAGCACTTTCTTTGCCTTTTTCTGCCCACCCAAGATGCTGCCCCACACTCAGGGAGCTCAGCATCTCCTGCTCTTGCTCCCAGTCCCCACAGGGACAGGACTGCACAGCACTGTGGGGAATGTGGCTCTCTGCAGGGCTGCAGCAGTGCAAATCCTTTCCCTGCTGATGCTGACGGGCAGCCCTGGGAGTATCTGACCTCCCAGGGTTGTCCCCTTGAAGCAGGGCTCTGCCTGTATCAGGGGCTGATGGACACACTTGATTGTGTTGGTATCTCACAGCCCCATCCTGCACAGCTGCAAGGACAGTGCTGCAGGTGAGATCATAGAATCATAGAATTTTAGGGGTTGAAATGCACCTTAGAGATCAGCCAGTGCCAATCCCTGCCCTGGGCAGGGACACCTCCCACCAGAGCAGGTTGCTCAAGGCTTTAGCCAACCTGGAATGAAACACTGCCAGGGTTGGGGCAGCCACAGCCTCCCTGGGCAACCTGTGCCAGTGTCTCACCACCCTCACAGGAAAAAACTTCTGCCTACTATCTAACCTAAATTTTCCTCTTTCAATGTCTCCCCATTACGCCTTGTCCTGTCCCTGCAGTTCCTAACCAAGAGTCCTCTGCAGCTTCCCTGGAGCCCCTTCAGCTCCTGGCAGGTTGCTCTGAGGTCTCCACACAACCTTCTCCAGGCTGAACAGCCCCAACTCTCTCAGCCTGTCCTCATAGGGTAGGTGCTCCAGTGCTCTAATCAGCTCTGTGGCCTCCTCTGGACTTGTTCCAACAGTTCCATGTCCTTATGTTGCGGACAGCAGAGCTGTGTGCAGCACTCCAGGTGGGTCTCACCAGAGCAGAGGGGGAGAAGCACCTCCTTCACCCTCCTGGCCACACTTCTGTGGGTGCAGCCCAGAGATCTCCAGACTCCCTGGTCCCTCCTCCATATCTGGTCACTTTGAAGGAGCATCCTCCAGAGACAGTGATCTACCACCTTCTCCTCTTGGCCTGAGCATCTAATTCTCACCTCCAGGCCAGCAAGCACTCCAAGTCACTGCTGGTTGAGAAATGCGTGTTCCTCCAGTGGAGCCTCCTGCCTTCTGTTAATCCTTAGCCCTCACCTGCCTGCTGACCACAGCTGGGTAAGCTTTGGGGCAAAAACGGCTAAGATTTTGTCTGCACCATCCCAGCCAAGCTGCCAGACCTGCACCTACCTAGCACCTCTCAGCCCCTGTGCATGTGGAGATTACAGTCTCCACACATACCCTTTAACTCAAATTATGATTACATTCTGTTGACAGCACTTAGCACATTTTCTTGGCTTGTGGAGGCCAAACCATGGTCTCAGTTACCCCGTGGGTGTTACCTCCTGGAAGGCAGCAGGATGGTAAGGGTTGGTGAAGACAGAAATTTCTCCAGGGTTCCTAAAATGAATATTTGTGGCCAGATGCTGATTACAATCCAGGCGCAATAGTTGGAGAACTGCAGGAGTTGAGAGGAAAAAAACATTGTTTCAGGTTTTTCAGAAGAGCCTGTGAAGTTTTAGGTGCAGAAACCTCTGTTCCCCTAAGGGAAATGTTTCTTCTCATATTCAGCTCGACAGGAAAACTTCTAATTTTCTCAAATGCAGCCAAACTTTCAGAGAAGCAGCAGCCACTGCTCCACACAGGTCTCAGTAGTGTGTGAGCTGCCTATGCACAGCCACACCACACATCTACCCCAGGTTCCAGCATTTCTGCAAAAATAGGTCCCAATGGAGTGTCTCTGTTCTTGGAGAGGTCTTGATCGTGGTATTTCAGGAGGGCAGCAAATCTAGAAAGGGGTGAAGTGAAGCCAGATGAATGACTTCACATTTCCCCTGCATTGACCTGCAGCTTCTGCCCACAAGTCAGCTCTGCCAACCACCCAGCTAGAGCAGCTCTGTGTTCTCCATGCTGACGGAGGGGGCAGGCAGACACACAACATCCACCAGGTCTCAACCAGTCAAACACCAGCACGTAACTGGAGAAAGCAGCTCCAAGAAAATTATCTCTGTCAGGGCAAGATCTTGCTGTTCAGCAGCCCCCCAGCCTCCTCTTCCTGGGAAGGAAAGCTGGCAGGTAGACTGGAAGCAAGTCAGTGTCTCCCTGGCCAGATTCCCAAAAGGGTTTTGAAACAGTGAGATTCCCTCAGCGGTTCCCATCAGCCTGAAAGATGACAGAGAGCAACCCTGCAGGGTTGTGGGAGGGAGCCCCAAGCATGGCTGAGCCATGAAATCAGGTATTAGATGGTTGAAGTGGGTGAAGCTTGGCATTTTCCAGCCCTTTCCCAAACACATGGAGTAAATAAGTGCAGATGTCCTGATGTGGCACATTCTTCCTGTTATGGACTCGATCCTTTACGCCAGGTGTAATCTCAGGGAGTGCCCACAGAAGATGCAGGGAAGAGCCAGTGTTGCCCAAGGAGCTGGGCAAGGCCAGCTGGGGATGGAGACTTTAAATACCAAGGGAAGGACAACCATAACCCATTGGCATGCCCAGAGGGGAAGGCTTGTGGCCAGGGCGAGCGTTTGGACCACAGCCTGGCACAGCAGGGTGGGGGAACCCCAGGAGTGTGAGGAGTGGGGAGGTGAAATGAAGAAGAATTGCCGGGAAGAAACCTTTTGCAAGAAGCAGGAGCGAGGCATGCCAAAAGCTGAGACTCCAGCACACTGCTCTTCACATCACTTCCCTGTTCCTGCTTTGACTTTAAACCTGCCCTATGGTGTATTGTCCTTTGGGCTGTTCAACAAGCACTGTAAAACATCAGGCAGTGTAACTTGCTTCTGCCATTTGGATGCAAGGATCTTAACTTCTACATTTCCTGATTTCTTTAGACATAAATCCCCCATGGCAGGGGATTGGAACAAGCTGATCATTAAGGTCCCTTCCAGCCCAAACTATTCCATGATCCTATGAATACACTTGTTGTGTAATTACACCGTAAGTCTGGAAAATCTGATGTAAAGAGCAGACAGCTGCAGCCAGGAGCATCACTGCAGTGACAGAGGATGATTCTTGGAAACACTCAGACCTTGTGCTCCGGGCTGGGGACACAGTGCTAGGGAGGACGTGGATGTGTCTTCAAGGAAAAATTGCCATCCTAAGGGCTGCATGGTGCTAACACAGGAGCCAAGTTCCCCACTGCTGTATGAGAAAGTATTTCTTATGGGAGAATCCCTGTGGCATGAATTTCCACAGGGAGGCTTATCTTGTGCTCAGGTTTCCTCCTCACCACCTTCACCTGGAAAGCTGATCCTAAGGTCCCTGAGCTTTGCAGCTGGTCTGAACACAATCTAAAGGCTGATGAG